AAATTTTCATTTTCTCCAGGCAGGTCATGTGTTGTAATCCCCTCATTGCAGTAGATTAAGGCCTTAAAATGGCATTTCCCGCACAATGAAGGATTTCACTCTTAATTACTAGGGAACGCAGAGTGTGCCTCATGGCCCAGATCACTCACTTTTGAGCATCCCCGTGCAAAAATCCATCTTGCGTTCGTTTATTTTGAGTGTGTTTAGCATTTGCCAAAAAAATCCTCTCAAAGAAGATGATAAGTTTGCTCCTCACAGTCACAACAATGTGTTTTACGTTGACTTTGGATCATCCTGCAGAGGGACCATCTGGATGAGCTTTCAGTCCATTTCCTGCGAGGAAGACAAAGCCTCATTCCACATTCAAATGGAACTATTCGAGTCATTTGTGAGGCAGCGGTGACTGGCCGGGGTTACGTGGGTAATGAAGCTATAAGAATGTTAATGTTGAATAAAGCTTCACAGCGGCAGCGACTCTCTCCTGGGCTCTGGATGCACTAGTACCTTGGTTGGTCTGAAACACACAAGATTTATGGTGTTCTTTTATCTGCTACTTGAATAATTGAGCTGAGACACCGTAAAGGTCATTCGGTGATCACCACAGCGCTTTATTTTATATCTGTGAAGCAGATTGCCGTATTTCGCTGGCCTTTTGTTATGATTTATGATTGAGATGTCTAGAAAATCTCCTTGCAGTCAAGAAGCAGAGGTTGTTGCAGGGGAGTGACGTATGATCTTCGATTTAAAAGGATTCATAAAACCTCTGTATTAAAGGGGTCATACAGTTTAGTTTTGTGGATTATTTTCATCCCTAAAGTGCGTTTATACTTAGTGTTTCTTGTTCTAAGTAGATTTATGATACAGTAAATTACTTGCAATGTTCCTTATCTGTGAGTCACTTTGGATAAAAGCATCTGCTAAATGTAAAATGTAAATCTAAAAAAAAATCTGCCATTGGTGGAACAAACAAAGTAGCACTGCCATGAACTCACAGCTTTTCCACAGATTTCATGCCCAAAAATGTACAGGCCTTTATATTATATCTTATTCTAAGTATAAAAATATATTTAAAGGTATATAGATATAAATATATATATATATACATACAGAACATTTTAAATATATTTACTTATTTTCAATTTCAATATAAATATAAAATAATAATTTCAATATATATTTAAAAAGATATACATTTAATCTATTACAGACTAATCTATTACTTATAGTGCACACATCATCTTTAAATATATTTTAAATATATATTATAAATATATAAAATATATTTAAAGGTATATATACTATATATATATTTCAGTATATCTTTTTTTATATGTTAATATAAATATATTTTTAACAATCTAATCTGTCAATTCTTGTAGTGCATACATCATCTTTATATATTTAATATATTTAAAACGATATATATATATATATATATATATATATTCATTTATTTATTATTTTTATATTTCAGTATATCTTTAAATATTTTTTTAACAATCTAATCTGTCAATTCTTGTAGTGCATACATCATCTTTATATATTTAATATATTTAAAAGTATATATATATATATATATATATACATTTATTTATTTTATATTTCAGTATATCTTTAAATATATTTTAACAATATAATCTGTTCATTCTTATAGCGCACACATCATCTTTAAATACATATTTATTATAAATATATAAACTATTTTAAAGGTCTATACATTTGATATAATATATAAACTTATTTATTTATTTCAGGATGTATTTTTACCTAAACAAACACATTTCCAAAAGTCTAATCTTTCAATCTTTCTAATTGTATTGCAGGTGAAGAAGATCAACAGAAACTTCCCAGTGAACCAGCAGGTGAGAGAACTGAATCTGAATGCTAGAGAAGGTGCGAATTGGACCTTGAAAGAGTGACAGAAAGCCTGCAGAGATCCAGATAAAGCCCTGAAAGAGCGAGTGGCTCAAGTGATCACCGCACTTGAATGAAGCCCCACGATGATGTTTTCTGACAAGAGCCAGTGTCCGTCCTGCGCTGTGACGCATGTCCCCTGCAGAAAGCCAAGAGTCGAGTTCACCGGTCTCCCCATCGCCTGATGTCGTGCTCCTCAAAACCACGTGGACTCACACAGACTGACAGAGACTTGGTCACAGTGTTTGATTTTAGTGCATGACCTCTCATGCAGGAGTGTTGTCACATTTTAAATGATCTTGAAGCTTTGAATTGGGCTTAATTATTTGACGAATGTTCGATTTGATGAATGTAAGGGGGGAAATGTGGAGTTTCTTCCTGAATATTCTGTGCAGACTAATTACTTGGAACGGCTTAGTTCTTCCGTCTCCTATTTGACACGTTCTTTTTGTGTTTTTCTGTCTTTTAGATCGTATATATGGGCTGGGTAGATGAGAAAGAACAAGATTCTGTTCAGGACCGAATGTACACACCAAAGTTTCTTGCCTTGAGGGGTTCGTCTCTCTTCAAATTCTCCGCACCTCCAGTGAGTTCTTCTGCATGCTTTACTGCATCAAGAGCCTTTCAGTTTCAGGCGCTGACTTTTATATGATTTTATATTTAGCATATGCTCGCAATATTTGTTCTACTTGGGGCATCATTGGCTGAAAAAAATGGTGAGAATTATGAAAGCACTTCAGACTCTTGTTGAAACTTTTGCTGAGTTGTTCAGTTGTTAGCAGTTCATTACACTGAAGAATTGTTAAAGAAATACTTGACCCAAAAAATGCATATTCTGTTATTATTTCGTCCCTCGTTTCAAACCTTTACTGTTTTTTGTGGAAGACTTACGAAATTGCGTCGTTTCACTGCCATTCACAAATCCTCTCCCGTGGCCTCATGGGATAGTAAAGTGTCCATCATACACACACTTCAGGATCTCACCAGAAGTAGTCGGTCATCCGTAGACTGTTTCTCGCATACTACTGTATATAGTATAAGTATTTGATTTAGGATGCAACGTTAGTCCTACATTTTCGTGTTTTATTCTCACAAAATTATTACATGACTTTGAATATAGCACTCAAGTCATATCGATTTCTTTTATGGAGCTTTTTTGTCCTTTTTGGAGCAAACCTGAACACTGGGAACTTTTGTTGCATGGGGAAAAGTTTCTTTAAAAATACTCCTTTCATATTCCATGAAAATGGAAATGAATATTCATAGTTTCTATTATAGTTTTTCAAGATGGCGGAACGACATGGAAGCCTCCATGGACTTACCCGTCCCATGTAATTAAAGATAAGAAATTCTTCGCTTACGAGGATAAGTCAGATCATTGGCAGAGGTCATTTTACAGCAATGAGGACATATTAATGAATAAAGACATTGATTTTAGCATTTAGCTAATAAAATACTTAAACTACACAGTGTACCCTTAAAATTAAATACAATAAGTTCTGAAGTACTAAAATTACTAATACTACAACTGAAATGCTATATATATACACTACCGTTCAAAAGTTTGGGGTCAGTGAGAATTTTATTTTTATTTTTTGGAGGAAAGAAATCAATACTTTTATTTATCAAGGAATAATTAATTTGATCGAAAGTGACAGTAAAGACATTTATAATGTTACAAAAGTCTTTTGAACTTCCTATTCATCAAAGAATCCTAAAAAAAAAAAAAACTGTACAACTGACAGACCAACAACTGTTTCAACATTGATAATAATAATAAATGTTTCTTGAGCATCAAATCCTCATATTATACTGATTTGTGAAGGATCATTTGACACTGAAGACACTGACACTGGTGATGCTGAAAATTCAGCTTTGATCACAGGAATAAATTACACTTTACTATATATTCACACAGAAAACAGCTGATTTACACTGGAATAATATTTAATACTATAACTGATTTTTGTTGTATTTTTAATCAAATAAGCGCAGCCATGGTTAGTAGAAGAGAATTCTTTTAAAAGTATTTAAAAGGACTTCCGGTTATGGCGGCCACGTGAAAGGACGCGTTTTGTACCGCTCTGCTGAACGTTCTTGTCAAAATTTCTTTAAAACCCTCTCTTTTGCAATAAAGCGGCGCGCTTATACACTCGTGCGGACAGAATAATGCCTAAAGCAGCAAAAGCTGGCCATGAAGTAAGCGAAAAATCAAAACAACCCAAGCTGACTGACTACCATCTTCGTGGTGAAGCGCAGAAGGCTAATGCTAATACTAGCCCGAGTCCTTGCTCTAATGCTAGCTCGGCTCTAATGGCGACGTCCGGCGGAGAAGATAAACAGAAAGCCCAGAGCAGCAAGTTGGACGAAATACTGTCTACTGTCAACTTCATGAAAACGGATTTTTCCTCTAGATTCGACAAAGTGGTGGAGTCCATTGACGGTCTGAGGAAAGAGATAAATGACTGTATCCGGCGAGTATCACAAACGGAAACCCGCATCTCTGATGCAGAAGATGTGATAGAAATCCTACGTGCTAAAGTGAACACACTGGAGTCCAATGAGAAAGTACTGGAAGACAAAGTTATGGACCTCGAGGCAAGATCTAGAAGAAATAATCTAAGACTGGTCAATCTGCCGGAGGGAGCTGAAGGACAGGACCCATGTGGGTTTTTAGAGAGGTGGTTACCGGAGATACTCGGCACAGGGGCAGTTGTCATAGAACGGGCGCACCGAATTGGACCTAAGAGGGACAGCAACACACCACCTCGCACTCTCATAATGAGATTCATCAACTACAAGGATAAACAGGTGATTTTTGCAGCAGCACGAGCAAAAAATGACATTCGGTTCCAAAATCAACAGGTACGGATGTATCCGGACACAGCTGCTGGACTACACCAGCTACGGAAGCAGTTTGATTCGGTTCGAACGGAGTTACGCAAACTGGGACTGCGACACGGAGTGGCCCACCCGGCCAAGTTGTTGGTGACTTATGAGGGTCAGACTCATTCCTTTACAACAGCAGCGACGGCGCGAGAGTTTGTGAAGAAAGTGCAGAAGGCGGCAGAAGAGGATGAATCACTTCCAGCTTTGGACTAAATCACACTCTTTCTTTATTTTTATATCAGTGAGTAACTTCCAGGTACATTATGTGGTAAACACCTGCCTTGGTTGAGATTTTTGATATTGAAATAACTCGAAATGTCTGAAGCTTTGAAGCGTGCTTTAAAGAGAAGGAGAGGAAAGAGGGAAGAGAAAAAAAAAGAAGAAAAAATTTAATTTAATTTTTTTTTTTTTTTTTTTTTTTTTTTTTTTTATTATATAGTGTGTAAACTTGTAGTGAAAAGAGAGTGGTTAATTGATTGTTACCAATAGCGAACAGCATCGGTAGTAAGAGTTCTGGTTTGGCTAGAGAAGAGTGGTTAGGCTGCTCCTCACTGTGTGTGGAGTGGTCGCATGCGATAGCGGGAGACATACTGTCGAGGGAGGGATTCCCATACGGGGAAATAATGAGGGGTTCGTGTTCAGGGTGTTGGATATACGTTCTCATATCCGGGTTGGTTACGCTTCTCCATGAAAAAATCCTATCTTATGAGGTAAATACTTATTTTCTGATTTTACAGTTTTGATACATCTCAAATGTCGCAAACACTGAACTTGAAGTTTGTTACGTGGAACTGCAGGGGCCTACAACGCGTTAAGAAAGTTAAACAAGTTATGACTAAATTAAAAGATATGGATTCTAAGATAATATTTCTGCAGGAGACACACCTTATGGAGGAAGATGAGAGAAGGGTTAGGAGGAGGTGGCGGGGAAGTGTATTTACAGCAGCATTCACATCTAGAGCAAGAGGAGTTATGACTCTGGTCCATGATTCCGTTCCATTTCATGTAAAAAATGTTATTAAAGATAAGAAGGGCAGATATTTAATAGTTCAGGGATCTCTATTATTAGAGAACTTAAATTTGGTTAATGTATATGGTCCTAATTTAGACGACTCAGGGTTTTATCAAGATTTATTCCTTTTACTTTCAACACTACCAGGGCGCTATGTGATTGCAGGGGATTTTAATTGTACCCTTTACCCAGACATAGATAGATCCGCAGGAATAGACCATACGCATAACAATTGTAGGATGACTTTACAAAGTTTTATAAAAGATTTCAGATTGCTGGACGTCTTTAGGGAATTGCACCAACAAACCAAAGTCTATTCATGCTATTCAGCAACATTTCAGACATACTCAAGAATAGATTACTTTTTAATTTCATCAGAACTACTAACCAAAATTGAAGATTGTTTATACGACAGCATAGTAGTCTCAGATCATGCACCTTGTTGTCTTATATATAGAGACGACAAACTTACTAGTGACCCACCTAGATGGCGCTTTCAGCATAAATGGCTGCAGGATGAAGAGTTTGTTAAGTATATTGGACAACAGATTGAAGAATTTTTTCAAATAAATACAAATCAAACGTCAGCGTGCGTGAGATGGGATGCTTTTAAAGCGTTTCTTAGGGGGCATATTATTAGCTACACGGGCAACAAATCTAAGAAAGCTAGAAGGAATAGGCTGGAATTAGAAACTAAAATCAGGAACATTCAGGAAAGGGTTTACCAAACAAATGACACAGATTTAAAAAAAGAGTTGCTGTTACTAAGAGCTGAATATGATAAACAATCTAGTTTTAGGGCTGCGTCTAGTCTTTTAAGATTAAAACAGTCATTCTATGAACAAGGAGATAAAGCAGGGAAATTATTAGCCTGGCAAATTAAACAACTTGAATCAACAACACCAATTACATCTATTAGAACACAGGAAAAAACGCTCACAGATCCTAGAGATATTAATAAGGCTCTTAAAGACTATTACCAGAAGTTATATGATTCCCAAGAAAACCATGATGGTAACGACTTATATTTTTTTTTGAATGCGCTAAACATTCCAGTTATTTCAGATGATTCGAGGGTTAATTTAAATATAGAAATAAATAAAGTGGAAATATCACGGGCAATTGATGGAATGAATTCTGGTAAGCAAGCAGGACCAGATGGTATTCCCATTGATCTCTATAAAAAATTTAAAGATAAATTGCTAATACCTCTACTAGATATGTTTACAGAGGCATTCGAAAAAGGCGAACTTTCATCTTCCATGAATCATGCCCTAATCACTTTGCTGCCAAAGCCTGGTAAACCCCCTGATAAATGTGAAAACTTAAGACCTATTAGTCTACTAAATTCTGATCTCAAGATCATTTGTAAACTTTTAGCAATGCGGCTTCAAAAGATCATGCCGGACATAATAAATAGGGATCAGAATGGGTTTATAATTGGAAGACAAGGTTATCATAATGTAAGAAGAGTTTTGAATGTTATTTGGTCTAAGGAAAATACCCAAGATACCGCGCTCCTATCGTTGGACGCAGAAAAGGCCTTCGATAGGGTCGAATGGCCCTATCTTCTTCATGTTTTGGAAAGGTTTGGATGTGGAACGAACTTTATTAAATGGGTCAAAATACTCTATAATAACCCGACGGCGGAAATCATGTCAAACAAGTTATTTTCAGAGCCAATT